CACGACGCTCTTCCGATCTCCCCAAAACCCCAAAACCCCATCTACAAGATATTCGATAAGTAAATGGGTAATTATTAAAAGGCAAATTAAATTATAAAGTTTTTCAATATGTTCACAACTAAAGTAAAAACAAAGGCATTATCTAAACTATTTTCACCCTCTGAAGTCACTGACAGATAGACACATCAATCCTTTGACAACACTCACAGGAGATAGCTGCACAATTACAATCAGAATGCTAACAATATTCATATTGATTTCAAGCAGAGGCATTAGGATAACTCAATCAGTGATATCCAAGATATAAAAGGAAAGTACAACAAAGGAGTATTTAAGAATCGATATTACAACAACAGTTTCGCTGATACTAACTAGCAAAGTATAATTGCAGAAAAAGATGAGTAAGGACCAGAAAATAACACATATCATAGATTTATAGTAAAGAACCATAAGCATACAGAACGTGAGCCCTAGAACAAGAAGTAGATTCAGAACTTAATCATGTCGCGTAGGTTGTAAATTCAGTCGCCTGAGACTCAGAGGAATAAAAACAACTTGTTTAACAAGGAGTTGTATCGTAACACAGTGGATGTTACCAACCAGAAAGATTCAATTCATATATCGCAGATTAATATTGATCACCAGAATGTGTCTCAAGACTCATTAGACAATTAGCTCCATTCTGGAATGAATGCCATTAGCCTCAACAAGATTAGACCCTAAACATCTAAGAATTCAAGCAAGTTCAATCATAAAAACCAGTGAAGTCTGATTCTAAGCTTTGATAAGATACAGTCTATATATTAGTCTAGGGATAAAGAAGCAAACTCATTGAATTCATATATGACAAGAAAAAAGAAAAGCCATCTAGATTTTACTATCTCTACAAGTAAGAGGATGTAGGCCAAGCAAAGCTAACTTGAGAGGGAGTCCTCCAACTAATAAAAGAATGAATCATAGAATCCTGAGCAGCTATATAAGATAAAAACATTTTTACAATACAGTAAGTATAGTAGTAACGGCAGTAACAAATGGAATGAGTCTAATTGCAGTGATGAGAATTAGACTCAGCCTTAGTTGAAATAAGAGATAAGAAGTCTACTTGATAAGCTTATTATCGAATAAGACAGCGATATCAAAGCTTAAAACTAGCTATTAAAGGATATAATTGCAAAATAGAGTCAGTATATTTTGTTTCTTGAGAATACATGCAGTATGAAAATAGATCACATCAGTGAAACTGTGATTGAAGACTAGTTACATATTCTTGGGTTTAATGTACGAAAGTAAATCGATAAAATAGATAGGCTTTAAAATAACGTGCTCAAGCAAAATGAAGAAATCCGAAGATACATTTAATCTACAAAGAACATGAAAAAAAAGCTTCAGTTTGATACCTTCGACCTAACTGATAGGAAACATAAACCTGATGAAGAAATAGTGGAGTTTGCTGGTGAGACTCAAAAAATGAGGTTTTCGCTGATATCAGAATCAATAAATAATACTATGGATTTTTAAGAGGGTATAAGTGCAAGAGAACCCTATGATGAGACAATCTGCATTGAGTCTCCTCATATTACTCTAAATCCAATCGGTGATCGAATGGTCAAGCAGTAAGCAAATAAAAAGTTCATGAAGTTTAATGAAAACAAAGGAATAGTGAATGTCACCAATAATAATCTAAGTTAAATAAATAACAGCCCCATTAAGGGAAATCCCAGCTATAGATATGCAAATACAGGAGGAGGTTTTCATACAAATATGAAAAGTAGTATGAAAGGCTCAGTCCAGCCAAACAAACATCAATTTAATAGAATCGAATCCCTATTGTGAAAGGGGCTAAATACGAAATTAGGCTAAAATCTATTAATCTAAACACCACTATATAAATATCCTATTTATTTCATTCTTTGAAGCTTTATATTGAAATCATGACTTTTACTGGTGGGGTTTTGGGGTTTTGGGG